TTTGTTTCGGTGATAAATTGGTTATAGAGAGCGCATACGCGAAGAGTTTTTGACTCGGCAAATGATGCATTTCGGGGATGAAATTCTGTTAGTTTCGATGTATTTTCACGGGAAGTTTTATTGCAGAATCATTTTGCTGGTCGCCCGCTTAAATTGCGACATCGTCCGCAGAATCGATATGCGAATGCATTGGTCTCGGATCGGCCAGCTGCCCCAAATACACCAAGTGCTGCGGGCTCGATGCTTTGTGTGGTCACCGTACGACGCAAAAAGTCCGATCCGAGCTGTGTGCAGGCCAAAGTGATCGGAATGGTACTGGTTTCTTCTCAGCCACTTCAGAATTGCCAAAAAAAGTTTCATTTCTCTTTCTGACCATTCGCCCTATCTGGTAAGGTGCAGATGGTGATGTTCAGCATCTCCCATCAAAGCCGACAAAAACTGACATTTCGTTGCATACGATAATGGCACGAGAGCAGTATGATGCATGCGTGTGGTGTTGGAGTGCGCGACAGTGAAAGGATTGGCTCGATTTCCCCCGCTTCAGGAAAGGGCTGTGTCTGCAGATGGCTTACTGGAGCAGCCAAGGCTTTAGCCAGGTGTTTGTTAGTGAGCTGGCAGGAGGCGGAAGGAATGTGAGGATTGTTTGTAGGGTGATCAATGAATCACTAGTCAGAGCAACGAGAAAAGTTGCTGGCTTCATAGATAGGGAGTGCGGTCCCAGGTATTCCATGCATCTTGCTCTTTCTGTAAAAGGAAGTTCGATGATGAGGATGTTTTGGGATAGGTTAAAAATAAGAGCCATTTTGTTGCTTAAATAGCCGTTGTTTTATTCATTGCCTTCGTGCTGTTGATACATTTAGCAGCTGTCATTTTTACAAAAATCATACCGAGGCAGACGATGAACCTGGTCAGGCCTGCCATCGACTCGCACTGGTTGGTAACTGAAAGAGTAGCGAGGAAGCAGGCCAAGGGCGAATGATATAGAACTTCAGTTTTTATGCATTTTTATGTAAATGCAAAAAACCACATTTTCGAGAGTCTATTATATATTTATGTTTGTATATGTATATATACGTGCGCATGTACATACACATATATATGTGTCCAGAAGCAAGAGGACTTTTTCACACAATTTCAATTTAGCAGAGCTCAAAAACTAGCCAGAAAACAATAAGTGTAGTTTTGCCAAAATATTTTTCGCCGATCTGGAAAGTCATATACCTATGTTGCGGTTTGCACTTATACCACGCCTTGGGGCACGTTATCGAAATTTATAGCGAAACGGTGATTTCGCTTACTGGAGAAATTGCGAAAATGAAACTTTGCAGGTGTATTCTATATTCACGTGTCTAAATTCAGCTTAGGTGGCTAAATTCCTTGCACACGGACATAACAAACATTCAATTTTATCTCAATGAACATTTTGCAGATTTGGCCTTCTCCCGACATCCTGTTCTTCTCCAAATCTGCGTTTTCATTGAACTGGTCATCGTAAACTGTTCAGTCCTCCTTGTGCA